CTGACACAACAGTTGGAGGTGTCGTTCAGCAGAGCGTCCCAAAACGGTCGATACAAGAGGTCATAATGCAGTTAATATATGTATCAAGCACGTCCCAGTACCAGAGATCAAGACGGATCCCCCCGTTGGCCAAGGCCATGGCATGTCGACCCGTCTACCCGGAGAGTGCGTAGACTATGGTCTGACAGTTTCTGGAAGCGCTGCCATGACTGTGAGTCGGTGTAGGTGGGGGTGGCGGAGAGATCATTTCGTTCGAGGACGACTGGCGTGCTGGAACGTCATGCTCCATGGTGGAAGGAGATGAAGGAGAAGGAAGATGAGGAGGAGGCTCCAAAGAGAGAAAATGATCGAGGAGTCCGCGAATCGGTTGGTTTAGCGAAAAGGAGTCCAGTCCACACTTTCGGGCCCGAGATGCCGTTGTTGCTACTTTGGTGTGTGGAAGCGTGGAGCGTCAACCTCCGCGTTTCACTTTTGGGGCCATGGCGTGCTTGTCAATGGCAGGGGACAGGGACCAGGGATGGTGATAGCCGAAACCGAGGAGATCATATTGCATGTGAGTGACGGGCAAAGGCAAGCATTGAAAAGGGCGGCTCTTCCTGCAATCTATCTTGGATCACCGGGTTGTTTCTGTGGAAGAAGTCTGGTGATGTTTTTGTTTTGGTTGTTTGTCGTTGCCAAGGAGAAGTGGGGGTGCACAGGTTGCTTGCTGATGTCAGTGCTGTTAGCAGGAGACCGCATCCTGGTTCGTGGCCCCTTTGATGTCGGACTTGTTTTGCAGATCAAATGGAACAACAACAATCGGTATAGAATCAAGACAACTGCTATATCCGGTTTTGGTGTTTCTAACCCTCATTCCCAATTTGAACCCCCGAACCCGAGGCCATTTCCTGTCTAAGAGTTGAAGAATGGAAGAACTCGGTTAACATGCAGCATCAGTATCCAACCCTAACCCCAAGACACACACCGTAGATCCTCCTCCTTTCTCCTCGTCGTCTTCATCTTCCCCGCACTCTTCCATTGCCTCTCCCCGCATATGCATCGCTGGCCATGTTTCGGTCGGTGGCATGCACACCGCGTGGCAGCTGACCGAGGATTTCCTGTTGGGAAACACCAAAACACCCGTCGGAAGGACATCATGACCGTAACCACTTTCTCTCTCTTTCGTCTCACCAATCTGACCCTGACCGTCATCCTCTGTCATCTTTAGAGGCCCTGGAAAACTGGAAAGGAGTATCAGAACCGCGGGTTGCTTGGATAACTCTTATTCATTCAACTTGCATACGTCTTCCCTTGTCTCACGAAATCAGTCCTCTCTGTTTTGATACTCCATTATCTTCGCCTTGTTAGTGTTCTGTTCTTGGTTCGAGGAGTTCAAACCTCTCAACACCTGCCAAAATGTCCTTAGTCTATCCGAGCTCAACCCCGGACTGGAACAACCATCAAGTCATTCATCGCAACACGCTGCCTCCCCGGAGCCACTTCTTTCTCTACCCAGACAGCGAGAAAGCATTAACTCGTGATGTCTCCTTGGCCAAGGCCCAGCTTCTCTCTGGCGAGTGGAAGTTCAATCTCTCCAAGTCGCCTTTGGTAGGTCCAGTGGGCTTCCAACACTTTGATTCCTTCACGGATCCGGACTGGAAACCCATCCATGTCCCGGGCATGTGGCAACTTCAGGGCTTCGGAAAAGGCCCGCATTATACCAACATCAACTACCCTTTCCCGGTGAACACTCCACATGTCCCCATTGATGAGAACGAGTGCGGACGCTACGTGACCCATTTCCAACTTGCACCCGAAGACAAGGACCACCAACTGCGCCTTCGCTTTGAAGGTGTTGACTCGGCTTTTACAGTTTGGTTGAACGGCAAGAATGTCGGCTACTCTCAAGGCTCGCGAAATCCAACCGAATTCGACATTACCACCTATGTGAATCTCGAAGGAGATAATGTTCTCGCTGTCGAGGTCTACCAGCGATGTGACGGCACCTACATCGAGGATCAGGACCAATGGTGGCTGAGTGGCATCTTTCGCGATGTCTGGATACACAAGTTTCCCCAGAAGTCTCACTTCAAGGATGTCAAGATTCTGCCAACCCTAGACAACGAGTACAAGGATGCCAAGCTATCTGTGACTGTTGAACTTAGCAGCCCGGAAGAGTTTACTTTCAGGTTGCTGAGACCCAGTGGTGGCGAAGTCATCCAGGGAACAATATCTGGAGAACAGTCCACTGTTATGGAATTCAACATCAAAGACCCCCTAAAGTGGACGGCCGAGACGCCGAACCTCTACACGTTAGTATTGAGCATGCCAGATTGTGCTCTGACCGAGAGGGTCGGTTTCCGCCGCGTTGAACTTCTCGATGGCGTATTCTCTGTCAACGGAAATCCCGTCAAGCTGAGAGGCGTCAACCGGCATGAACACCATCCCGATTTTGGGCGCGCCGTTCCATACGAGTGGCTCAAGAGAGACCTGATTCTCATGAAACAGCACAACATCAACGCCATTCGGACTTCCCACTACATCAACGACCCTCGGCTATATGAGTTGGCGGACGAGCTCGGCTTGTGGATCCTGGATGAAGCTGATTTGGAATGCCATGGTATCTTTGTTGTCGGAGGTGATGGCAACAAGATGCTCTCTGACAACCCCGAGTGGAAGGAGGCGTATCTTGACCGCGCACGCCAGATGGTCATGCGCGACTACAACCGCCCTTCCATCATCATCTGGTCGCTTGGAAATGAATCCGGCTACGGCAGCAACCACAGAGCCATGTACGACTACATCAAGAGCGTCGACACCAGTCGTCCTATTCACTATGAAGGTGACTGGAACGCTCATTCGGCCGATATCTTCAGCAGAATGTACACATCGGTTGACGACATGGAGCGCTACGCCAGGGAGCCGTCGTGGGACAAACCTTTCGTCATGTGCGAGTTTGCCCATGCCATGGGCAACGGACCTGGTGCTCTGAAGGAGTATATTGAGCTTTTCTACAAATGGCCTAGACTAATGGGAGGTTTCGTATGGGAGTGGGCGAATCACGTATGTATCTCGGAGGTTTCCAATCTTCCATCCGTTGCAGATGACTAACAAATAATCAGGGCCTGAGAACCAAAACCGAAGAAGGAGAAGAGTACATGGCCTACGGCGGTGACTTTGGAGATGAGCCCAACGACAGTAACTTCGTCTTGGATGGCCTTTGTTTCTCTAATCATACTCCTACCCCTGGTCTATTAGAGTACAAAAAGGCCATCGAGCCTGTCCAGACACTAAAGCTTGAAAACGGCAATCAGGTGCGAATCATCAACAGATACGACTTTGTGACTCTTGACCACCTCAAGTGTCTCTATTACTACTCGGATGATGAGACCGACTGGGTTGAGAAACGGGAGGTTAAGATCCCCAAAGGTACCTACAGTCACAAATCATCACCAACTCTCCAAACCAAGTACAAACCACTCACAAAAAAACAACAGGGGTCAAACCACACGAACAAGCCCTCATCACCATCTCCGACCTACTCGACGCCGAAGCGCTCCAAGCCGCCGGCCGCCACGACTGCTACGTAACACTCGAATTCTCCCTCGCCAAAGCCACCAACTGGGCAGAACCCAACCACATCCTCGCCACAGGCCAACTCCCTCTCACACCCCCGCACAACCCATTCGCCAACCTCCCCGCCGCCACCAACGCCCACTTCGACCTCCTCTCACCCACTCTCCTCTCCATCACCGTTCCCGGCTCCAACTCCACCACCTACGAATTCGACCTCTCCATCGGCGCCCTCACAAGCTGGAAACGCTCCCCCTCTTCCGCCAACATCCTCACCACCCCACTCACCCTCTGTCTCTACCGCGCCCAAACCGACAACGACCACGGCTGCGACTTTGGTCGCAACTGGACTTCTTCGCGCCTAAACATGGCCAAACACCACCTCCTCTCCACATCCTGGGACCCTTCCGCCTCTCCTCAGACCGTAACCATCAAAGGCCGCTTCGCGCCCCCTGTGCTCAACTGGGCGCTCGAAACCACGACCATCTACTCCTTTCTCGAAGGCGGCAAAGTGAAGGTCAAGATGCACGGCAAACCCGTAGGTAACTGGCTGCCGCGTGCATGGGCGCGCTTAGGATTAGAGGTTGGATTGAAGGATGTGCACTTTGCGTCGTGGCAAGGGCGCGGGCCGGGGGAGTCGTACCGCGATAAGAAGGAGTCGCAGCTTATGGGGTCTTGGACAAGTACCATTGATGAGCTATGGACTGAGTACGAGTTCCCGCAGGAGGGGGGAAATAGGACGGATGTGAGGTCGGTGGAGTTTAGGACGGAGGGGTGGGAGATGGTGCTGGGAGCGAGGTTTGTCGAGCCGAATGGGGAGAATACGAGTTTTCAGGCGAGTAGGTATACGGTGATGGATGTGGAGGCGGCGAAACACCCGTTTGAGTTGCATAAGAAGAGGAGGGAGGATGTGATTGTTCATTTGGATTGGATGCATCATGGTTTGGGCACTGGGAGCTGTGGGCCGGAGACGAGGCCGGAGTATACGCTGTGGGCGGATAGGGAGTATGAAGTTGAGATGGTGCTGTATTGAGTTTCTTCGGGGTTGGAACATTTGTCTTTCATGAGCTTTGAGGTTGGGGAGGTGGTTTGTACAGCATAGCTACCTAAGGTAGTTGTGGAAGCCAGAACATCATCATTTGGTTAAAGTCAATGGTAAAAGCAAAGATTGGAAACAAAAGAAAATAAAAATGAATGACAATAGTGAAAAGCCCAAGGAAATTCATACTGAGCAGCAGCATACATGCCACTCGACAATAGTCGTGTTCAACACATCCGCGAACCATCAACTATCCTTTGCATGATGTCCTATATCAGCCGCACCTCCATCTCCCTTGTCAAGCTGGCCAGTCGTGGCAAGTTACCGCTCACTTGGATTGAGTAACTGTCCAGTTTCTCGTAAAATGTGCGAGCCTCCCCCTCTGACGACCTTGTCACTGGTCTAAGTATCATCCCCACAAAAGTCGGTTGACGAGACAAAGGAAATTTGCACCAGCATCCCATGATAAGAAAGAGAAGTTTTGAGCTATCTCCTTTTCCAGAGACCGCTTCTTCAAATAGCCATCGAGGAGACCCAACAAGACTCCTTTCAGATGTGAAAGGTGATGTAAGTCGCCATCCTTTTGTAACTGTATCAGGAGTGTCCAACAATCTAGCCGTATGGTTTTGCCATATCATCTGCACATCCATAACTAGCCCTGTAATATTGAGGCTCAGGGGAATTTTTCCGTTGCGTGACAGTTCAAGAATCCTTGGGTTGTCATTCTCCCAATCTAGTAACAGTTCGCCACTATATTGTACCCTGATCCTCAGACAACTGTCGAAATGGTTGATGTCATCAGGCTTAGACTTTCTGGTTCTCCAACCAGCCGCTGTCCAGCTGCCAAACAATTCTCTCCGGGCCTCTTCGAAGCTGGCTGGTAACTCAGAAGATTTGCGCCATTCGTGTCTCCAGCACAGACTGTAAGCCAAGCTGAAAGTAAGGTTATTGTCGTCGGCCCGCTTGGGCTTGAAGAGTCGTTCATCTTTAAACCATCTGCGAAATGAGCACGCCCAGATCCCGGGTTTCAAACTTAGTTGCCGAGATTTCGCCCATAAGCAAAGAGGCAAAATGGGTAAGCCACAGAATAACTTGAACACCGAGTCTCCCGCTGCGAGCGCGTACATTTCCATCACACCACTGATGGCGTTCAAGGCATCAGAGTCGTAGCCAAGCTCTCTCAGTCCGTATTCACTGATTCTTTCCCAGGCCGTCAAGGGATTGTCCCAGTCGGTCACTTTCGGAAACACCATCCCAATGTCCAATTCTTTAGGCGAAAATGGACGAATCTCATCACAGTCTTCTCCTGATTCGCGAATAGGAAGCGACAGTACTTCATCGCCGTGCATCTCATGACACTGAAAATAGACCATGAGATCCGTAAAGACGAGCCTACGCTTCGACAAAAGGCCTTCTTGGTATGTCCAACCTCGGGTATTCCATTTAGAATTGGTGATGTGATCCGTTGGGGGTTCATATAGTACGAGAGAAATCTCGTCGCTGATTTGCACTCCCACCTGCGCAAGACGAGGTCGCGAGCTTACGCCTGGAAGTCCGTATTCCGGTCCATCACCAGCCGCGGCAATGATTGTAAGAGTCAAGTTTGAATATATCCTCCCCATGTTCAAGATCTGTGTGTGCTTGACGGCCGCGTCTTCTTGCGGGATACAGTACCTATCTACCCACAGGTATCGGTATCCCAGTTGCTTCACGACCCGTATCGCGTCACTGATGACCAGGGGTATCTGAGTAGGGAGAGCCAGACCGTTCCCACCATCGCGGTTGATCGACTGAACAACTGGTCCGTCGGTTGCCTCAGCTGTGCCCCAAAGGTAACTGAGCGTAACATAGTTTGCCACCTGATTTGCAGCATCCTGCTTAAGTGGGAGAGGGACGACGTGGTCCGTAATACAGTCAACAACCAGAAGCCCTGGTATTCTGTCTGCGTCCACTTTTTCGCAATGGGGATGTGTCGACCGGCAGAGCGTTAGCCATTCCCTGATGAGATTCAAGTCGACCTTGTTAGGATCAAGTTTCCTTCCGAGAAGGCCACCGCCGACACGTTTGTTTCGTGTTAGGGTTCTGCCCCCACTGTCAACCACACGCAAAATAGGCTGCGGAATGGGACGAACTCAAAAATTTCCGCGATTTTCTATCTTTCGGACTTTGCACATTTGCAAAGCCGCGACGTCTTGTACACAAGAGCGAAAGAATAGGGGCTTCTCGATCAGTGACTGTCGTATAATGCTTTCAAGTGAAAGGTACGGGTTTATTACGCAGTACCATTGTTTTTGATTTGTTGGAATCAGATTCAAGCGAGCTTGGCACTGATACAGAAAAGCACAGAACGAACAAGCCGGTACATGGCTATCCAACTTGCCCAGCAAGCCACTGTATCCGGATCGGGAGCTAATCAGTTGACTTGGTTTAGGTATGATTTTCTGCCCGCAACGGCAACTTGGCTGGTGAGTCTCGTCTATGACCTTCATCTTGTACCCCTGCGATACAATTATCTCACAGTCATGAGACCCGAATAGTGAATTGAAGTCCACTTTTCTGCAAGTGCTGCACAGATTTGGGTTCTTTTCATCGAAGCCCATGTTTGGGCCGGCCTTTTTGCCCGCCATTTCGTCACATTTGTCCTTCTCCTTTCCAGTATTCCTGTTGCCTTTCTCATTCGCGTCACCACTGTCACGGTCGTGTCTGTGCATGTCATGTGACGGTATTCTGAAGCAACAACACAGAGGATGCTTGAAGAAACGTGTACGCCCAATGGCTAGGTACGCTGTGCCAAGGGCAGAAATTTCATCAAGAGATAGAGACTTGACTTGATGTAAGGAGCTGAAGTGCGGATATAATGATGATATGAATGCGTGGTGCGCAAGCGAGAGCTTCCTCTGTTGTTGCCTCGATCGTTCTGAAACCCTGGTTCGATATTGATACCTTGGGCAAATGGCGGCAAAGGACAGCAACGAGCAAAAAAAAATTATGAAAAAAATCTGTGCATATAGTCGTCGTAGACACTAACGGAGGATCGGTTGCGATATGGAGCTGAGGGGAGTCCTTGTAGGGAGTCGGGATTGAGGCTGTTTCTGCGTATGTGTGCCCAATGATGCCATAAGGAGATGAAGTCGCAGAGGTTCCCAGAGCCTCACAGCCTGATATATCTATCAGCTGATGGAGCAGCCAGCAGCGGCCTCCATTTGCGGGCCTGTACTACTGAAATGTCTTGACAACGTGGCTTGCATGGTTTTCTGCATAAAGAGGCCCTGCGGGTCGGCATTCGAAGGCAATTGGTCCAGCACTAGAGGCAGCCCGGTTAGTTTACGTTCCTACACTAGCTCACTAGCAAGCAAAGGGGAGAAAATACCTAGAAAACCATTTCTATCAAAATACCATCCTGTGGGTATCCCCAACCCAATTACCACCGATCATCATGATGGAGGCTTAGTGTCTCCAACTGGAAGGCTCCGTGCCTTCCGTATAAGGGTCCATCTTTACCCATCACCGCCGTACTTCATGGCTTTTGAGAGACGCACTAGATGATCGGCAGCGATTGAGGTTCACCTAAGCCGAGGTTGATGTTTCGTTAACGCAGGGACAGGAGAACAACGAAGAACAACGCCAACTAGACAACCGGATTGACGGCCATATGGCAGGCCTAAAGTCAAACCAAGAAAGGCGAACATCCAACCGATGGTCAATTAGCCCTGATTGATGGGTAGACAACTGAAGGTTGAAGGTTGAAAGAGGGAAGATGCCCGGAAGATTGGAATGATTCCAGGCTCTACAGTCAGCAGTTGTGGGTCGCGACTGTCACATAGCCTTCCATTATAAATTGGAGCAGCCTGTGATACTGTTCCCACACTCAAACACCTGTGCAGTCTTGGCGGATGTGTGCGAATGCACACACACACGACTTTTTGGCAAAACGGACCATCGATGAGATTTCATTTGCTTATATCTCTACTAAACAAAGAGATGAAAGAAAACGGACTCAAGATATAGAATCAGCGTATTTAAGACTATTAAGATAATAGTCTTTTCTATAGGATAATTGAATTTCTTCATCTTCGTCTTTCGGTTCGATGGTCCGTTTTGCCAAAAAGTCGTGTGTGTGTGTGCATTCGCACACATCCGCCAACACTGCACAGGTGTTTGAGTGTGGGAACCTCGATTGGATCATAGGTTTCATCCAAAATGGCTTTCTCTTTTCAACAAACCAAACCACCAATCAAACATTCTCCCTACTCGCAGCCATTGGGAAGGTAGGCGATCCGAGCCCTGACGAGTATTTCCCCATCTGCCCCTTCCACTCTCCCTTCCACTCCTCCAACCACCCCCTCACCTTACCCAACGCAAAAAACATCACTCTTCACCGAAGTCGTCCACGCTTCCTCAGTCATCAATCCAACCCGGCATTTCTCCCCTCTCCCCAAGTGGAAGCTCCTCCCCAATCCTCCTCCCCATCCCCAAACCCCCGCAAAACAGGTACCACCCTCCCCTCCCTCACATCAACCATACCATTCTCCCTCCGGCTTTGATATCTTTACGCGCGACTCCCAACTCCACATGCAACCACCGCACAACCACCTCTTCCCAAGGCTTCATCAACGCCTCCAATTTTTGGTAGTCATGATCAAGATCCCGGTTCCGACGCTCATCTCGAGGTATTGATACAGCTTATGCTCCATACCTCCTCACCACCAACCCCATTCACCTCATCGATGCGACCGATTGATTGATTCAACCGCCTATTCTAGGTAGGCACTCAATTACGCTTGGATGTCCGATCCAACCATCTCCAGAACGCGCTGGAGCCTCGTTTACACGCCGGCTCGGAAGCTCGCCTAGTACTTCTAGGCACCGATTCGGGTAATTTTTATAGCTGAAGATAGATCATGCCTCGTGCTAAGTCTGGTTTTGGTGCGATGATACTATACACTCCGACAGTCTAGGTACCCTAGGTACAATCGGATAGACCTAGGTAGTCATCCGGCATTGCACTTCTTCCAATGAAGCGGTGATCTGTGTCGGTAAAAGCGAGTTCCGTGATCTCGCTTGAGGGGGGCATGTGGCGTCAACTGAAAATACTGGCGAGCCTTGCATAAGTTACGTGGGTGGGTAGTGATTCAAAGACTAGCTTCATGTTGGATAAGCAACGAAGCAGATGAGGAGCTAGAAAGAGGACATATAGGGAGCCTTGTACGTGATTCATGATTCGGTGATCTCATTGAAACATATATACAGTGATGGTATAGTATGGTAGTATCGTGGGTATGAATGAGATGAGTGTGGACCATTGACTCCATGCCAATTCCAGTTCCCTTTTCACCCTATTCCGGTCCAATGCGGAAAATGAATAGAAAAAAACAAAGAAACAAAAAATTGAGCTAACAACAAATGGGTATAATAATTTCTCTTCTCCTTCCTTCACTTTGTTTCACTCCTTCTCCGTGAAATCCTCTCATCGAGGGCCATCGTCTCTAGCGAGACCCAAGCTTATGAACCCACCTCTTCAGCATCATCCTCATACCTGGCTTCTTCTCCTTCTCCCCCTTCACACCCTTGTGCACCGCAAAGGTGGTATCGACCACCAACTTCGGCACTTCACGTGCCTTTTTCTCTTCTTCCACTACTTTCGCTGTCGTTGGCCTCATATCCATTGAAGGCCTAATTTCCTGAATAGGTGCACAGTACGTCGATGCCATCGAATCGTCCCTCTGATGCCCAAAGTAGTGGTGCTGAGAATGCAGTAACCCTCCGCCCACCAGCGGGTCCGCCGACCTGTTCCTCAACGGACACATTCCTTGCAGTCCGTGCCGAACCTTTTCGCTAATAGGGCTACCCAGTTCCTGATCGCTTTGCGCTTCCGAAAGTAAGCGGTGTCGCATAAAGTTGGCACCGGTGCTGGTTGCGCGGCGCGGGCCGGGTAGGCGGACGTTGCTGGCAGAAGGCGCGGGTGAGGTGCCCCGTTCGCTGATAGCTTTCTTGATAGGTTGGGCGGGCATGGAGTGGCGTTTTGGTTTGGCCGATTGCGCTGGTGTTGCTGGCTGTTGTAACCGTGGTGTTTCTGCGTCGGACGGCTGCCTGCTTATTGGCGGGGTGCTGCCCTTTGAGGAGCACAAGGAGTCGGATGCCATCGGTCGTGACCATGTGTGCCTGCGGCGGGTCTTTTCGTTGCCGGTCGTTGGACTTGTTGGTGACTTGTCGTCCGAGCAGGGGCTGGAGTGGTTGTGAGTGCTGGGAACGTAGTTTGGCGACCACCCTGATCGCAGGACTATCCATAGGGCCGTGGTCGAAATGAGAGACTTGGTGGCTTCGTCGATAATGCGCACGGTTCGCTCCGGCTCGGGCTCAGGCTGGGTGATGCCAATCCCGGAATCAGCTTCACTATCTTCTGGTGATGAGGTTTGTGGGCTCGAGGGGCAAGACGATGAGCCACCCCGGCTGAGAGCATTGACTGAAACTGCGCGACCAAGTGGCCTTGGCGGGAAGCGACCATAGGACGAGGAGACAGTGGTGTAAGTGTCCTGGACAACGAGTGTACAGTGAGTTAGGGTTGCCATGACTGGATGGCGTCGTGACAAGGGGTTGAGAATACTGAATGTGAAGCGAGGATATTCGGGCGGCGGCGCAGGTGTATCCGCTGGGGATGTAGGTGGTGTTTTGCCAGCGCTTCGGCGAGCCCAGCGGGCTGTCGTTACATGACCGCATTCATCGACATGGACAAAGTCGTAGGACCCGTTAGGCAACGCTTTGGCAGTCCAGATGGATCCATCTCCCAGTACAATCTCCGTCTCCTCCGAATGCTTGACCGGGCTGTACACAGCAAGAAGCTTGCTCTTCTCAAATGTCTCGTCACTGTCGCCGCTTTCCGAACCCTCCCGCTCCGACTCGTCATCATCCCGCTTCATCAACACTAGGTCGTCGTACCCAAGCTGGCGCTTGACCCCGAAAATGCCCGGAAATCGCTTTGCTAATCGGGGAGTTATCACAAGGCCGGCGATCCGCGAAGACGGAAAGACCTCAAGCATAGGGCGCGCATGGCCATCAGGAGAGACCGCTTTAAGTTGTAAAAGCAGCCTAGGTAGAACTGTATGCATCACCTTGAGATTTCCAAGCTTCTTTGGAGTAGGATAGCCAAGGTAGTAAGTGGTACTGGTGCTCTTGCGCGAGGTCGTCCGACGGCGGCGGGGACGGCGACCTGACTCGGAGTGACCGTCGACCGAGGCGGCCGTCTCGCTCATTTCGGAGTCAGAGAAGACATGGTGGTCGTCATGTTGCATCTCAGGCGTCTGGGGTTCCACCACATCGGGTTCCAGGAAGCGAACTAAGGGCTCGGGAGTGCGGCTCCGGGGAATGTACTCTGATGCTGGCCGTTGTCGCAAAACAGGCTTCTTTGGAAGGGCGGTAGTCGTGGTGGTCACGCGGCTCTTTGGTGGTGAGAGAGCCGAGAACAGAAGGGGAGGCCGTAGCTTGTGCGAAGAATGGGAAGACGAGGGTCTGTTGGAGTATTCGTGACCGTGCATGCTGGCGCCCGAGTGAAGAAACATGGTGGTGAGGTACCCCTAGGGCCCCGGAGGCCCTTTCCGTTTGGGGTCGACAGGATGTGTGTATGGCAAGGGAGGAAATTGCTGAGTGAGATCGTAGTAGGAAAGTGCGCAGGGGTGTGTATGATATGGAAGGAACTGCAGTGCCGTATGAGGAAGGGTCGAATATGTAAACCGTTGCCGAGTCCGTCTCAACGGAACCAGCCGCGATGTTAAGTAGGTAGGTGTTGGTGCGTAGTTGGCCGTCCCCCCTCTTATATGAAGTCTCGATATTCGGAACCCGGGAGCCGATTGAAAACAATCCCCAGCTATATCCCCCTGCTCCCAGAGCACTGCCACATGCGCAAATCCCGAAACACGGGAACTGAATCAACTCAACGGTCAACAGTGGACTCTAGCTCTGGCGCAATCCGACGAAAGCGAAACCGTTCCTCCCCGTCTCAACTGAACACTAGAGAGCCCTGGCTGATGAGCTGGCCTTCACATCGATGGTTGTATACAGAGTTGCAGGTCGAAATGCGGTTGCCTAATAAACAGTTGGCCAGTGGTGATGAGGGCGTAAGAGCTAAGAACGTGGTGAAGCAAGGGGGTGATGGAACGTTATATGAGAGGTCTACCACGGCGGTCCGGTGGCGTCGTATCGGAGAAAACAGAAAAGTCGCGAAAGAAAAAAGGGAAAGAAACAAAAACAGGATTCCAGATCAACAGGAGATACACCTTGGGAGACACCAGGAACGTGGAGACAGCACGGAAGAGAAGAAGACAAGGAAGGCCCTGATGATGTTTTGAATTAATTAGCCGTTCCGAATGGATAAGGTGAGGAGCTGGAGAAAAATAAGACCCTGGGCTACCGGAGCCTCTGGAGTTCTTGAGGAGCCCGAGAGAAGCAAAGCCTCGGACGTTGTTGTGGTGTGTGGAAGGATGTCAAGAGAGAAACCAAACAAATCAAGGGGGACCTGGGCAGACTCGGAGTGGCAGGGGAGGGAGCACCAACAAAGTGGATGACCAATTGGCGTCCGACTGTCACCGTGTCTTGGCCTCACCCCTCTGACTGACGGGGTTCAAGCCGTGGCCGAGCTGCGAGGAGCTCCGAGAGGTTTGGAAACGGTGGTGTTGCTGTGCCAGTGGCCGGTCACGACACCCGCGACGCCCAAAGAAGAAAAAAAGCGACGGCGGAAGCGCACGGCAGATCCTGCTAGATCCTGGTAAAGGTAAGCGGGCAGGGGACTGGCCAAGCCCTGAGCTAGCCTGGTCAAATTAAAAAGATGGGGCCAGTTCGGTGCCGATGGTGGATGACGGTGGACGCCGGCAACGGTGAGTCGCTGAAATCGGCCGCCGATGTGTCAAAACCGTCGGACGTTGGCGTGGGCTTTTTCCTTCGGCGGCGGCGGCGGTACGTAACTCGATCCTTGTGGATGTCGCCAACACTCTCCACTAGCCAAGCGATGATGTATGTATTCCAGCGAATCCTACTGCGTGCCGAGAGTGGATCAGCCTGACAAACCTTCGAATGAAGAACCTCGCAGCGAATTCTCGAATTGTGACCGGGGTCGCTGATTTGTCCGTTGGAGATGTTTTGTGGTGGAGGTTTAGTCAGACGGGTAGGTATCGCTGGGCTGAAGCCTGGTGCTGCTGGACGACGAGCAACAGAGAGAGAGTCAGTGTGTGAGTGCGTGTATGTGTCTAAGTGTGTGCCACGAGGCCGGACCAGATGGCCATGAGCGGTCCTGGTGTTTTGATGTCGGCGACGAAATCCGAATGTCATAGCTGACATATATATGATTTAAGAGAAGGTGCAAATCTCGTGGCAATGTCCAGCAGCTACTATTTGCGCCGCAAAATCACATTGCCGACCAATCCGACCCGACTGCCAGGAGAACATTTCCCCAAAGCATCGGTGGCGACAGACTAGAAACCCAAAAAAGACTTGGAAAATTCAAGACACCAAACAGAAACAAAAGGCTGGCAATGTGTCCATTTTCTGGGGAAGCCAGCCAAGGTTCGCGTCAAGCAGCCGTGACAGTGTATAGTGTACACTACTATCTTAGCATGTCTTGGGACGTGGCCGCTGACTGGACCTTCTAAGCGATACCTATGTTCCCCAAAACAGTTCCCTTCCCTCGTCATCAGTCTCAATTCGTTGCTGGCTGGTGGAAGGTCAACTCGGTCATACAACGAAACCAATTGAAGAGTTCGTTTCAAGACGCCAAAGTCCCCGGCAGTCCCAGGCGGGGTTGATACGTTCAACTGGACATGGTCCGTGTAAGTTACATTTTGCAAACAATACAGCGCTTGCGTACACGTACTGCAACAACACTGCAATACGCCAACGCCAAGCATGTGTACGTCACCCGCTTAGGCTGCAACTGTGACCACTGTAACTGTATGTAACAACAATGTCATGTGCCCAAGCTGGTCCGTGCCCACAGCTGCTGTCGTCTCCCGCCTGCCTGCCTTTCAGTTCGCTTGTCAGGCTGCTGAGACGACCGCGGCGACTAACGGGGCTCGAAGCACACTGGTGTCGCTGGCGACAGACAACATTCGACGACGACCACTCCTTGCGATCAGACCAACCACACGCCAGCCCAACCACATCTCTCCCAACGCGACCGCATCAACGACGCCCCTCTTTGGTATGATTAATGACGAATCTGAATAATTGAGAAGAACGATACCCGCCGATAAACGAGCATCACCAAACGAAACCCCGATACGGCCAGCCCGACGACAGCACCCCCACACCTGCCCCAACCCCGAACCTCCACATCCGATAGCGATACATACTCCATTCAAACCAAGATGGCCAACATTCTCGACAGTGAAGCCGGCACGGAGCTCTTCAAGCACTATGAGACGGAATACCAGCTGGTCCAGGCCGACTTGGTCCAGAAGCTCGACCAAATCTCGGAGCTGACGGGCGAGCCCAGGAAAGCCGCCCTTAGCACGGCCGAGCGCGCCCTGGAGGAGGCCGGCGAGCTGCTGGACCAGATGAACATGGAGAAGCAGAACGTGCCCAGCTCGTCGCGGACCGCCATCAACAAGCGACTGCGCGACTACCGAAGCGACGTGGACAAGTATCGTCGCAAGCTGCAGACGCTGGCGACCGACCGGAGCGCCCTGTTCGGCGGCAGATACACCGATAACCCGGGCTCGTCGAGTGGCGATAGGCATTTTGAGCAGAGGCAGCAGCTGCTATCTGGTGGGTGGTGGACAGAAGCACCTTATACTTGGCAAGAAGAAACGGAATGCTAACTATTTCCCCCGAAACGTAAAAGGCACCGACCGGCTCGATCGGAGCACACAACGCCTCAAGGCCAGTCAGGCGCTGGCCGCCGAGACAGAGGCCATTGGCGCCAGCACCCTGGCCGACCTGCACCGCCAACGCGAAGTCATTGAGCACACCACCACGATACTATACGAGAGTGAAGGCTATGTGGACCGAAGTGTCAAGACACTAAAGGGCATGGCACGCAGGTACCACCCTCCCCTTTTGTCCCGATGCGAAGCATGATGATTAGGTAATACTGACCACTTGCGCCTCTTCCATTAGGATGGCTACGAATCGGATAATCACCATTGCTATCATTACCGTGCTGGTTCTGCTTATCATTGCGGTTATCGTTAGCAAGTTCAGGTGATTGTCTTCAGAGAGCTGAGTGAATCCATAAAGAAGGAAATACAACAGGAGGTAGAACAGACAGGGGTATTCAGTGACATCACAATATATACGAACAGGTGGTGGATGATTTGGACTGTACCGATGGAGCGTTTGTTATAACAGAGACATGTTCCAGTTGTTTTTTCGTATCGTAGGGATGGTATCGTACGGGGGGTTGTATTTTTACACAGACGGCGTCACAAAGGGAGGTGGTTTCGAAATTCAGACGTATTTCTTTCTCATGACCATACGGCGGCATTGCTTCCATGGACGTTCCGACATCCGACAGGGGAAAACGGCTCGCTATGCCTACAACAACTCGCCGCCACATGGGTAGCGGATCGTTCTATGATTTCAAATGATTCTCCTCTGAGACATACTATCCCTGACTTTGGTCGGTGTTGACCGGGGCCTTGGTTATAACAAATTTTCCGTTGGCCACTGTTGCTTGAATGATTTGCGTTCAACCACACCTCTGCTGGGATGTGACTTGGTAGCTTGGTAGCTCTACAAGAAACAGAGAACGAGCCATCGACAAACTCGCTATTTCTTATGCCCAAATTAAGCTTCTTTGCCACCCTGAAGAACTGTGGTGTATATCCCAGCAGAGGTGTCTTGGTAACTCTTGCACACTACAGGCCTATTACAAATGAGTAGACTAAGAAATTTTCCATGTGATAGAAACACGCATCACTGCAAATCAGGTCAAGACATCTTCGAGATACTTTCGTTGTTGTTGTTGACATTTGCATAACCCCACTTTCACAGATACATTGTAACGGACCCTCAGACCTTCACAGCTCCAGTTGAACTTTAGGCGGTGAAAAAAAAGTCCACCGGACTGATGTTCCGCAGCTCAAGCTGCAGCTGGAGATCGCCGGTCTCTCCCCGGCTTTCCCACTCGTCTCCATCTTCACCAATTCTTCACTTCGCGATGGAGTCACAAGACAAAACACCAAAACCGCTTACGGAGCGGACTTTTGGCGAGGGGAGTTCCTTAGGTAGGTATGGAGTCGTCGTCGGGTCCCATGGAAGCCATGGACCGACGGAGAAAAGCCTCGCTCCACTGTGGACCCTCTCTCTCTCTCTCTCTCTCTCTTCCAGTGCAGCGGGACTGACTGTAGTGCAGTGGGCCAGCTGAAAGTCTGAAGGGATGGAACATCCGGGATGGATGGAAAACGAGGGACGGATGAACAAATTGCACAATTTTCACAAAGTACACAAAAAAAAAATCGGAGGACACAAAATTCGGATTCGGATTCGGATTCGGATCGATGCGGGTTCGGATCGATGCGGATTCGGATCGCCGACATGAAATTTCTCATATCAACGTGGTGAAGTCTTCACCAGTCACGTTGACTTAGAGTTGAGACGGAAGCAGACAGAAAAACCCCGCCCGGCCGGCCGTGAGTCGGAAACGGAGTCAAGAAGGACCCCGATGTCCGTTGCGATCCTATCTTTGTTGTTGTTGTTGTTGTTGTCAAGTCAATCAGTCACGCTTCGGCGCTGGGTTTTGATTTGGGCTTCCACACCTGTAGGAACTGAAGCAACGGGACGATGTCACTGTTGCAACCACCAATGCCTGGTGGCCGTTTCGGCAGGCCTAGCGTAGAAGATATGTCACAGGGCAGAAAGAAAGAAAGAAAGTCCATAGGTAGGGCGGGCAATGACTTGATATGATACATGATACATCACTGATGGGTGGGATTCGAGATTCCCAAAGATTGGCAGGGGGCTTTTGTTTGGAGATCGTCAAACGGTTTAAGAAAGAGAGGAGCCAATTACGTGAAGAGCCGCTTACATAACGACCTTGTGGGCTTCTACCGACGTGTACTGCATGCAATGCATATCAAAGCTCAGAGCTCAAGAGCTAGTGATGATGCCAAGGGTCGGAGG